ATATAATAGTATCTTCTATATTAAATTTAGTTCATATACGCTAATAAACTAAAGTTTTCGTATGCCAAGCAACAGTATTATAGCAGCCGTATAACTCAAAAAAATTTCTCTAAACATTTCTTCAGAAAACAATGGTCAAACTTTCATGTTGTTTCTTTCGTTTTCGCTCCTCAGTATAGTTCAGCAGCATCGTGAGTCTTGTTCTTGTAATGCCTAAACAAACCCACTTTGACAACGGTTACCGTTTGTTTACGATCCTATTAGCAAATGATAAGGCCCAATAGAATATATATATTAACTGTAACTAATTATCACGGTTAATGTGTTCTTTGATGTGTTAAATTTATAAAAGTATAGAATAAAAACTTATAAAAGTTAATAAAAGTATAGAATAAAATAGAAAAAAATGGAGAAGAAAAGATAGTGTAGCCTGGGATAAATATGATCAGGATAAAGAAATGTCTCAGTATTCTTGCAAAGTATAATGTTTTGAAAAAAGTCATTGTTCAATTTGGTTCGTTGCTATTAACTGTTGCCAGCGTCTACCGTTTATACAGAATACAGATAAATCAATGAAAAAGTGCAAACAAGTGAGAGTAATTTGTACGGATAAATCATAATTACCCCAAAGCATATATATAGAAAAAATGTCTCTCTTTTAATTTTCGTAATTTCTCATTAATTAATTCAGGTCAAGTCTGAATTATGTACAATTGACATGAGAAATAGAGCAAGTAATATTTTAGAAAAGCAGCCATAATTGATTGACTATATATTCTTTATTGAATAATAAACTCAACGTTCCGGTCTCTTCTTAGAGCCATGTCAAGAGTAAATTACAACTCAAGTTTTTTAAATGTCATTAAATCTACATTAAAAATGTAATTTGCTCTTGATAATGGCTCTAAGAAGAGACCGAAACGTTGAGTTTATTATTCAATAAAGAATATATAGTCAATCAATTATGGCTGCTTTTCTAAAATATTACTTTTTCCGATTATTGGCTCTAACGTCATCTAATTAAGAAATACAGCAAAGAATTTTCTGCAAAATGACATTTTTTTATCCTGATCTGATCATAATTACCCCAGGCTACTCTGAATTTTATATATTTTCCCTCTTATACAAACATCAAAGAGAAGCTCTTTACATTGCACGATTGCTCCGAACATAATTTTGACGGCTTCCCAAACACAAATAGTCATAATATTTAATTTGTCAACAAAACATTGTTAAATGATGTTTCAACGTGGTTATTTGATTCTGTAAACTAAACTAAATTTCATTAAATTGATAAACGTCCATAAGCTGGATCCAGTTGTTGTAGCTACCGCAATCATAGTCTTAGGCAGACGAGAAATCGAGATGTATGTTTTATCGGTGATGACTTCATAAGGGATGACATAATTTCTTGTTCATTAGGAGGCAGAAACAAATTAAGGTCGTCCGACATCGAGATATGAATTGATGAATTCCGGACGATGGAAATAGCTACCGACGTCTTGTATGACCATGCATACATCTGAAGAGTTATAGGGTGGGCGAAATGGAATGAAAATATTTTGTTTTTGTTTTTATATTAATGGTGGTCACAGAATGGAAATACTCTAGAATCGAGTAGTTTTACCTTATGTATTGATATTATCTGATTAAAAGCCTCGTTTTAACTAAAGACATAATAGAATTTTAATTTGTGAACTTCGTATCAAAACAAATTTCTGTTACGCCTATAGAAGAGTATCCTAGCGGCTTGACCAAATGTCACGAAATTTTATTTTTTCGTCTTCTGTGCCTCTTATCTCGCGAAAGAAGCAACGTTTATCAATGAGAGTTATACCAATGATGGATATTAGAGAGTTCTACTACCCAAAATGATTCGAGCTTCATTGAACAAGTGGATCGAAAGTTATAGTCAAAAAGAAGCCGTTACGGAATTTCAAAAAATGGAAGTGTTTTTTGGGGTATTCCAATAAAATGTAAATTATTTAGCCTTTAATTTAGTTTTAAAATGATTGCTGAATTGACAAAATTAAAGCTGAAAATAAATGTGCCCTTTGGTAGAGGATTTTGTTGTGTATCGGATGGTATATTTTTCAGGAGTTTTGGAAAAAATATCTAGGTTAGTTAATTAAATTTAAAGCGCAAAATTCTAGTTTTCAGTGCTAGGATTGGTGTTTCGCTGGTTTTTGAGTCCAGATTTATAATCACCTTGAAAAAGTGCGTCTGATGATGTATTTTTAAGCTTTGCTGCACTTAAAAGAAAAATTTGAACCTGCTCATGCGAAGGTGGACAGTTAGCTGGCCACGCCGCAAGATATGTACGTGGTATTATTTCAGAAAACTATTGCAGCCATCAATGAACGAAACACGGTTGGTTGGACGTGTAATCACACGGGGTACATGTGATATATGAACTCTAACTTTCGTTGTATGCAGGATTTATTATAGAAAAAGTGTCTGTGGACTTATTTTGGCCAGGGGGTCATGTGAGAGTTAATAAAAAATAATCTACAGAACAAAATGAATAAAGTGGAGAACAACAGATATGACCTTGTATAGGTGTTATATTGATGAATATATTTATCCATATAGCTCTAATTCATGTATTAGTTCATTTTTAATGGACAAACCTACATAAAATTATCGTTTTTCATAATTGGGATGATGACCTAACCTTTTACAAATATTTAAATAAAGATGCATATATTACAACAACAATTTATCCGCTCCACTGTAAAATGTACGACATCCGATGTTCCTAGAATCAAAACTTTCCCTGCGTCAACTAATTTAGAAAGAATAAATTAATCATAAGTATCGCATGTTGTGACAAAATTGAGAGTCACGATATTAAAAAGGCGAACCAGGAAGCATATTGTATTATTAAAAGCTTGTCAGATTTCTAACCAAATATTTTTACGTTTTGTTTACATAATGATCAATAGTAATATTGCGATTTTTAATAATCAAGAAATCACTTACTTGAGTCAGTGTACTCAACAATTACAAGATAATTTTACTAAAAGGTTTTCGTATATGACTATGCATGATGATGTGACATTGTCTTTAATCATAGGCATTATACTAATTGTGGCTAATCTATCCTTAATAGGAATAATTATTTATTCACGGTTTAACAGTAGTAAACCTCGATACACCGAATTACCCGTATTCATACAGGTTGTTTTTAGTAAAAACTTATCAACTAAAACACCAAGAGTCGGTTGCTATTGAAATTACACATAAGAGTATTGTTGACAAAACAACAAAGATTGATAAGGATTGTCTTGGTTTTATGGCAGTTGAATGACTACATGAAATACTTCCACATACTAAATCTATGTATACTCTGTGCTGTGTTTTATTATATAGCATGATAGCATTCTTTCATTCTTCCAACACGCTGCTTTCTTTTTTCTTTTCTACTTTTTTATTTTATAATTCGCCATTCTTTTCATTTGTTTGTGTTAGAGGCACTCGAGTTATACGTTCATATCAAAAGAAAAATATCGAATTGTTTCCAGAGTGAGTACTTGAAAAACGTTAGAAGGAGAGAACTTCTTACACAACCTTCAGTGGCATCCACCGCTGAGGGGTGGAAGAGAAATCGAGAAACCGCAATTACGCTATACTATAACGAGAAATATGTTCTCTCACGAGAATTTATATCTCTTCATAACCACGCTCTTGTCTAGCACACAAGAATTATGCTCTCTTCTATGACAATTACGCAGGATCCAGAAGACATTATGCTGTCCACACGAGAATTTATATCTCTTCATAGCCATATCCTCGTTTCTCACCGAAGAGGGCATAATTCTCGTGTCCTAGACAAAAAAGATTCAAGGAAGCTAGAGAAACTTCTTCTAGTTGTGCGTAATTCTCACAGCAAACAGCATAATTCTAGTGTAAATGCATTATTGTCGACCAGACCAGCAAGTGGCTAGGAAGAGATATAAATTCTAGAGCATAATATCTTCTGGAAGCATAATTCTCGTGTAGGAATGCCGTATGTGGCAAAACTGGCATCTCGCAGTTTTGTTCTCACACTGAAGGATACCCTATGCAAGTTTCTGAGCAAAATTTACTCATTTGACGATTTCTCTCCCACACCGGCCACAGCTATAGAGATGTGACATATTTTAGCTTCTAACGCTAATAAGTTTTTCATGGATTTTTTTAGTCCAGCATCATTGTTGACCACGTAAGATTCTTGGATTTATTCAACAAAAACTCACTTGGCGAAATGTCAACGGCAGCAACAGTTCTGGGAATCATCAGTTGGTGTCTTATTTTTATTGCTATTCTCATCTTTCTATCCATTTTCATTATTGTTTTCAAGTTTCATCTAGAACGACGTAATATATCGGTGTTATTAACATGTAACACTTGTTTTGCTGCACTTCTCACATGTATTACAATTTGTGTAATAACTGGTTCAAATTTATCCACAGGATTTTTAATTTATAATGTTGACTTTTGTTGTGTTTGGGGTTTACTCTATGATATATTTGAATGTTCAATTTATCATAGCTATTATTTACAATCATTCTATCGTCTATGTCGTGTTGTTTTCTATAAAAGGAAATCACTGTTATCCTATTTATTATATGTTATATTGATCGTTGGTCAGTGGCTATTGATATTTTGCCTGCTTTTACCACCGCTTTTCATCAAATGGTATACTCAGTTACCTACGGAGAAATATTGTCTTATTCCATACACAGATGTTAACGCAGAGATATATCACATTATTATCCTATATAGTATTCCGTTAGCCTGTATTTCAGTGAGCTATTTATGGATAACAATATTTATGCGTTCGTCGCGCACATCATCAATTATTATGGCAACGCAACAACGACAACGAAATTTAAGAGATTTAACAGTTATAAAACGAATTATAATGTTGATGTCAATTTTAATATCCTTACGCTTGCCAACAATTATTTTTATGGTGTACGGAATCATTGCTGGACAATTATATGGGTTAACATATGGCATAGTTGGCTTAATTACATCAGCATGTCTAATATTTATCGGATTGATAACAATTTATATAACACCACAAATACGAAACAATATATCTATTTTCCTTATTTATCGTGATAATCGAGTACAACCAACACCACTAAAAAACTTGGAAATGCGGCGAGCAAGGGATCGTAATATTACTACTTCTCGACAAAACCAATTGACGAGTACACTAGAGGATGTTGTTGCAGAACAGAATCTTTAAGAACGTTTTCATTTTCAATTTCGTGATGAGCATAGCCGTGCGCTGCAGCTGACGCTGTCATATGAACCGCGTTTATATTGTTCTTCTATCTTATCCGACCTCCTTTGATCTTTCATCGTTTTTTCTACAGTACAACGTATCATGTTTACCGTTTCTCCCTCATTCATTCGTAAAAGGTCTGTTTTACTTTTTTCTTGCGATTTTTCCTATCTGTTTCTTGCGCAACAGACATTTTATTTATTCCCCATATTGTCGCATCTCTAACATATGCGTCATCGTTTAGTCTCGGTTTCGTTTTTTCTGTAGCATTGTTTTTTTGCATAAACCGTGTTTGGTCACTCGAACGTTCCTCATCTGTACCTCAGGCTTTCACACTCTCTTTGGCTTTTTGCTTCAAAATAAACAGAAATTGGCGAAGAAGACGAAAAGTAAAACATCAGGAGAAAGCAAGATGCGATGGCACTAGCAGACAAAGCTGTCACTTCACTCAGTCAACTGTGCATTTCGCACCTACCATTACCAGTTGAACTTAAAGGCATTTATAATATGAAACAGCGTCGAGTCAGCAAGAGGAAGAACAACACTCGGACGCCTAAGAAACGGAAGATGGACGGGAGAATCTTACTCTACTATATGAATGTGCGCATCAAGTAAACATTGCTCTCGACCATGAAGAGTAATAATACCATTGTTCGGTTGCTGGGTACACATGGAATAGAGCTCAAAGGGTCTCACTCGCTGGATAAGGGTTGATATATGCCATCCCTTATCCGTTCACAAATTCACCTTGACACAAAAAAATAACACGATCAGAATGATTGTACTGAAGTTTTTGCACATTCTAAGCTGACTTTCTCTGTAACAACCGTCTAACCAAGATCCCCAATATTATAAAATATTACAGAATATTTAGCAAAGGACGAGGTGCAATAAAAACGAGGATCGGCTCCATTTCAGATCATCTCGAAAGGTATCTAGAATGAAAGAGCGTACAGTTTTATGGAGTTCTACACCCTTGGTTCCCCTTCGGACCTCATATATGTCAGAAAATCGATCAGCTTTGAACAATAGCTCCGCGAGCCTTATTTATATATTGCGGTCTACATTATATATGAAAAGGAAGCTCTTTCAAAAGTCTAGAATATGCTATGTAATTCCTTTCTAATCGATACTGCGAACACCGACGTTTTTGAATATTACTATTAAAACGCGGTCTTTTCAGCATAGTCCATCATAGTATTTCTGTTGCTTTTACCACGAAAGAACCTAGGTTGCGGCCTGTATTATATATTAAAGGAAAGCTCTTTCAAAACTCTACAAAATGGTTCGTAATTCATTTCTAGGTGAAAGTGCAACCACTCACTTTTTGGGATTTTACTACTTAAGGGTGATGTCTTCAAGTATACTGATGGATAGTGTTTCTGTGTGTTTATCATGAAAGAACTTAGGTTGCGGTCTGTGTTATATATCAAAAGAAAGCTCTTTCAATACTCTGCAAAATGGCTGGTAATTCATTTATAGCTGAAAGTGCGAACACTCATTTTTTCCGATATTACTACTGGAAAGTGATGTTTTCGGCATCGACGGATAGGCTCGATCCATATAAAACGTACCACCATTTACATCGATCTTTGACGTCAGTGGCAAGACTTGCATCGTATTATAGAGCTCAGCAAGCTGAAGTGAACGGTAATAACTGCAAGTCTCTAGCCTCGTTAGAAAAAAAGTTATAGGCATTTTACTCGCGCAGCGGAAAAATGCATTTTCTGGCATATGAAAAAAAGTCGCACTTGAAACGCACAGTTTTATCAGATGTTTTATATGTTTTTAAACTGCAAATAATATGAAAAAGCATTCCCGAAAGTTTGGCGGATACCTTTTTTGTTTGAAATTTTTC